AGTGTGCACAACTGGACAGGTGACTGCGTTGCGTAAAATATGGCTATGTAGTAATACCCAATAACAAGAAATTTACTTCTTGCCTGTGAACTCCCTTATTAAACTCACAGAGTCCAAGTGCCATAACGAACGACCGGGTAAGATCCACCCCGCCACCGTTCGCTCCCTATGGATGGGGCTGCGGTGAGTACCGTTTCGGAGTTCATAATTCAGCTTACTTGGTTCATAATCTGCACTGAAAATCTACTGCAGTCCACAGTACTCTGTGTAGCAACTGTTGCGATCGATTCGGCAGATTTACAACCTCGCGTCGACTGACTAGTCTGTTCATATCTGGACTGAGTATCAATGAGGTACGACGCACTGCTAAGCAATTCAAAAGAATCGCATCATGCCAACTACGCAACGCATCGTCCGTGATAATGACTCCTAGACGGAGCTGAATTGGACGCCCCGAGCGGGGAGTTGGAAGACGTGAAAATAAAACTCGTTGTCCGTATCCATGGGCGAAGCAGTATTTTAAACGAAGTTCAGCTACTTTCGGAACAGTGAAAAAACGAAAGCACTTTCTGAATGGTGTTCGCGAATGTCATACAGATGGATGCTGGATGGTGTTTTAAGCAGCTGTGTATCACATGAACCCTAATTACATGTTACTTCGGACAAATGCTCATTGGAAAATGAAACGGTGCACGTAGCTGAACTTACAATCCGATCAATACTATGTTTCTGAGAAGGGAAGTTCTGGGGAACATCAGGGGGTGGAATGGATACTGTGCTGTTCTGCTAACCGCCTAATCGCTGTCGTATCAGCCCAAGAAACCAAAGCTAGACATGTAGGAATGCATAACCTAATATGGTAGGTGGATTAATCGCAAGGTTTCGACATTAGGCTGCAAACTCATCAAATTCCAAAGCACTTTTCATCAGTAACTGTATGGAGAATGACGACACTAAAAAAGAAATTTAGCCGAGGGTAGCTAAACTAAGCTCCACTTTGGTCATCGTCATCATTAGTGTTGAGATACGCTTCACTTCCGCACAACCACAAAGTTTATTCACTAACATTTAAAGACCTAAAGTGAAAATGAGAGTGAATGTGGGAGGGACCTGGCGCCAGTTTATTGTGGGCATTCCGTACCTGCATGTTCAAGCGCTCAGTTGGACAATCTGGAAAGAAACTGATAGCACAATATCTCCAGAAAAGCTCAGGGGAGATCACAGGGACCCCATGCTGGAAGGCGAATCGCACCAGCAACATCGAAAGAACCCCTCATATTCAGTTTCGTAATCTCCTGCCACGACTTCCGATTGGCGGAAGAACAACACTCGTCTCGGTAGACAATGTTTCGGCATACGCAGCACATGACCAAGCCACTATCGTTGGTGTTAGATGTTTTCTGCGACTGACGTACGTGTTGCACAAACGAAGTCGGTCCGCGATGACGCTCGATAAGTAATGTCAAGATGAATTTCGAGAACCATTTAATGATTCACCGGCATGACAACTGGACTTTTGCCCTTATCTTACGTTCCTAGGCCAGGCGTTACACGATGAGCTGTTTATAGTCAGGAAAGCCAGGTTTTTGAAAAATAATCCCAGGATATCCGAAATCTACTGAGACACTCAAACCCCACCAAAATCGCAGAAGGGAAGCCGTCAAGTATCTAGGTCAAGAAGTCCGCTTTCGATCGAACGCTCAAGCAGTAAATCAATTCGGCAACGGTCGACGAGTGTTCAGTCACGCCAAAGAAGTGTTTAGGCGTCTCGTAGAAGCGCGGTCGATGATGATGAGTGATCACCAAACGCCGATCAGATAGCCTGGATCAATGTCGAAAGTACTCTTCAAATACTGCGAGGCCCATTGCAACTTTTGCCCTAGCTTGTTCGCAGTAAAACTGTTGCGTTCCTTATTGGCGAGTATCTTTCCGACAATAAGGCACAAGAGCGGAGACAGTAGTTAAATACGATATTTATATACTGGTTCTGTCCGAGGAACTTAACCAGATAGGTACGTTTATTCACCGATATCGCGAATGAAAAGTGAGTAATAAAGCAGGTAGACAATTGTAGATGGCCTTCCACGTACACTGCCCAAAGAGATTAGTCCTACTGATGTTTTTTTACAATTCCGATGCACAACAGGGTATAATCCGTCTGTGCTGAACTTCACTATTTTAGGATAGTAACCAGGACTGACAGAAGGGATCACCACTGTAATGAGAGAAACCCTCCAGCAACGGCCCCCCATGCCCTACTCCCCAAAGCGAAAGGGTTGCCGTGAGGTTGACTGACACCGATGAGATGCCATATGCAGGGGTCAGATCTAATCAACTTTGAATGTGAACCACAAGCCAAGATACGTCATCGTGGAGATAAATAGAGCAACAAAAACGGCTGAGCCTTTGCAAACCTTACGTTAGTGCGGGCTGATCCATCCTGAATTTCAACTTTGCTAGCTTCAACTCGCATGGCAATCTTCTTAAATTGTGACCTAATCTAGTGAATTCAAGGTTGGAAACTGTGCTATGGCTCATTGAGGTGTGAAACAGTCGGTATCCAATGCTCGGTTACTCCGGAGTAGAACGACGCTGAAAAAATCTCATGCTACCAAATGTCCTCTCGACAAAAATGTTACCTTGCGCGGAGAAAAGCACTATAGGAGATCTAGTTAGTAAATTTCATGTGCAGGAGAAACAAGTTCATTACACCTGATGTCTACGTGAAATTCCAGCCTCCAGGCCAGATAGGAATAATTCCTCTACTTGAACGAATATCATACATATGGGCGGAAAATGTACCCATCGTGGAACGTGGCTTTGATGCGTTTCGCATTAACAAACTTAAATTGAGTGCTGTACCCCACAACAAAACCTACGGATTCGAAAGTGCACAAACTGAACGGCTTGATGTTGATCTTAAAGGAAACTACACACAAGGTTACCGAAAACTCTTCGACAGCCCACGACCGGTTTGCCCTTCTTGGGGCTCATCAGGTAGGCGCAGTCCCCGAGATTCCGTCAACCTCATGATCTACTTGAACCCAAATTGCACTGTTTTCGAGGAATACACTCATTTGCAAATCAATTTGGTTTTCACGGGACACTCAATTGAATCTCTCGTTTATGATGTTCTCCAGCTGAATGTGCTGCACACAGGCCGCCTCATGATCCAGTTGGCACGATATTCGAGATGTCGCAGTATATTTTCATAAAGGAAACTACTCACAAGGTTGCTGGAAACTCTTCGACAGCCCACGTCCAACTTGATGTTGAGTTCATTTTCTTTACGCGCACCTTGTTTAATCTTATTCGATGTGAACTTACCAGGTCTTCCGTTGACTACGTGAGTGTTTTGAGCAAGCCGATTTAGCACAGTTTCGGCACATTTCCCCGTCTGTGATACCCCTTCACACAACATGAAGGTGGATGAGAATGTAGGTATTGCTGCGAAGCTTAGATTGATTCACTTTCGAACAGACGGTCTGGTTCACAGGCATGGTACAAAGGTCACACTTCCACAACACTAATGCCAACGGCATATTGTGCAGCAATAAGCTGAATGTATCGATGACTCAGTTACCATCAGTCACACAATCCCTTATCGATTATTTGATTTCGAATATGCTGTAAATAACAACTGGGCGAATGGACGGCCGGATTTGTTGGTATCTGGTTGCACGGAATGGAATTTCTCCCACAACGTTCAAAAATAAATAAATACAGAGAGGAGGGGCAACACTACGGGTCAATTCAGAGTATAAGTCGGTGTAACCGTGGCAACAGCGGACGGACACCAAATATCCATTAGACGCAGAATGTAGCCATTATCTGTGTGCCTACAACCTGAAAAAGGCACTGACCCCATCATTGATGAATACATCTAACACGCAGTGTTCATCAGCATTAGGCAGTCTCGCTGTCTGATAGGACCGTAAGGCGCTTAACTTTCACATACCTGAGGAAGCGATACGGAGCAGTTAGTATCTCGCCAGTCAGCTTTGACATTGGGTACGAACATAACAGACGAGGCGCACATTGTTGTAGTTTTCCTTCACTGTGAATGTTTTTTTATCAACAATCTCTTGGTAACGCTGACAAGCGAAACATAGAACCGACAAGCTCCATCAATATGATTGTCCAATGTGCTTAGTGCGCTACACCAGATAAGGCCACAGAAATCTACCGTAGGTACAAGGATGTTGAACTTTCGGAGGACCACCGACTACGTCGAGCAGGTGCTGGCGTGGTGCACGTAAATCTAAGGCTGCAGAGGTCCAATTCGTTCACAGCGGCTAGTGATTTAACCCTTAAATGGGATTTCCACCCATGAATTACACCAGCTCGTCGCGAACGCGCTAGCCATAATCGCAAATGGGCAAGGCGATTGTGACTTGTGACCTAAACGAGCTCGCGTCAGCCTATCAGTCTGCGAATTCGTCATCGAATATCCGAAATGACCTCAGACTGCGACTTACTCCAAATTGCAAAGTTGATAGGTTCCTTAAAATTCTGCGAAACAGGAGTCGTGACGGCCGACACAACACTGCTCTGTTTTCAAAAGAGAACACAATAAAAACGAAAAGACGGAGTTCTTGAACGACCCTCGGATTCGCTAGCACTCACCCGGTAATCAAGATGTCGTCGGTTCGACTAACGTCCAAGGAGTCTGTTTATTTTCGTTTTCATTTTGTGTTTTGGTCCATTTCGAGACCTCGAAAATCCCTATCTCTTCCTTGTATCATTTGTGTGTATTTTCCTGACGAAACCATTCGATTGCAACGTACGTATTGTCTATTTCACCTAGGATGGTTAGGCGCAATGGTTAGGCGTGCAATCAGTGCCGGCAATTCGTTGTACTAGTGATAACTCGATTTAGCTCATTGCCCATTTGTCAGAACGGCTGCGTCTGCATTTAGTTTCGATTTGGACGGAGTGAACCAAGCTTCTAACGAACAGGATGCAGTCGAAATTATGGACCACAAAATTCAAGATTTCTCGTCAAAGTGGGTCTTTGATGCATCCAAAAAATACAGTAGCGAAAGTGGAGAGACGGAACGTCCGGGGAGGTTAGTTAGGCGTCGGAATCCGACGGTAGTCGTGGCGCTACAACTCATACGATTGAACTTGGCGAATGAAGTCTGAAAGCGAACTCCTTCCAAGAGAAAAGACGACGTGCAAAATTGGAAGGAATACTTAAACAGTTAGAACCAGTCGACAAAAGCACAAATGAGATTAACAATAGCTCTCAAGGTAAAACGCACTTGATGAGCGCACGATAAAGTGTCCAACCATCTTTCTCCACGGTGATTCGATGCCAGAAAGACAGAGATCAAAGAATTTGTTTTCGTTTTATTTTTTCAAGGAACAAAGTAACCAAACTAGGTGAGTCGTACCAGAAGGGCCGAGTTGAGAAGATTTGCCTCCTTGATGGTCTGTGACCCGTCACTGAGTTCACGACTTGGGAAAGTAGTCATCAGTACGAATGGGCATACCGCAAGATTGGGTCTTTGGCTAGAACGAGATAAAGTGATTTGGAGGAGTAAGCTGGTGATGTCCTGACAATCAGTGAAAATAGCGGTAACAATCAACTGCGTTCAACTTCGGTGCAACACAATCCAGAAACTATGCGGTCCAGCAAGAGGCGGTCAAACAGTGACTTGGTAGCGAAGTATCAAAGCCATTATCAGCAAACGCAGCTGAGCTGGTCATTGCCGTCTTCATGGGTGGGGACCCCGAGACAAGCCACATCAATGGTTGGAGACGTTGTCAGACATGGCCCAATCGTGCCCTCAATGGCGCTCGTGCATCCAAGCTATTGCCTTCAATGCATAGCTCCCTTACCAATCCCCCCACTTAACAGTCCCCCTACAGTGCCGTATTTACGCGCTAATTTATCAGCTGTCGCCTCCAATGAGCAACTACCTACCCGACCTCCCCGAATCATCGTTGAACGAAACTGTGGCAGCTACAACCACTGTACGACAAGTACGCCGTTATTACAGCTGACACTGATGATGTGGTCCAGCAACAAACAGACGCATTTGGAAATTTTCGACATACCATAGAATGATAAACGGAAAACGCAACTGGTAAACTCTAGTTGAGTAGTTTCACCTACAATTAACGGCACCGGACAACGGTTCCTCGCCAGCTGTCACTGTCAAAGTCTGTTTTTTTCCCACTAATCTGATATAATTCACGAGGTTCTCTGGAATATGAGTATTGCGGTGACCCTCAGTAAGCAGAAGGCCCATGGGAAAAGAGGTTACCATAGCCAAAATCCCTCAAGGAAGCAAAGAACAGGTGTCCCACGAGAGGTATCGACCCTAAAATATAAAACGCACCCTGATTATGCTTGCGAATTGTAACTAAACCATTAACCTGATTAAGTGGAAAGTTAACACGCCCCATTGCCCAAACAAGACTCCGGACATCAACCGAAAGTGATGAGAGATTCCAATCCTATTCGGATAGCCTAGCGTTGTTATCCTACTGCATGGGTTCAATACCAGGCGGTATCAGATCCATCACCTAATCCCAGCAAAAAAAACCGCAGAAGCCGCTCCCCCTCCCCACCCTTGAACCGATTGAAACTCTAATCTCCGACACCAGGTTCAACCCTGAAAAGTAATACTGCGCTGCTGTGTGAAAATTTAAAATAGTTCGCAAACGAAAATTAAGCTAATCGTTAGTGTATTCTCACGTATTGCGCGAACAAATTCACGCATGAATCTGGTTCCTAATCCAGTGCTGCTCCCAACCAATGCGGACGAGTAGAATGATAGCGAAACAATCAACAACAACAATATCAACAATAAGAACAAGAGTAACCACAATGCTGCCACAAATAACACGACTTGGGACATGCACTGAATGTCATGATTATGCCAGTTGATGGCCATCCCCTCTACTGGTTCGATGTTAATCCATACCTCGCATACTTTGTTTGGTCTATTTTGCCGCCAAGAATGTGCTGATCTGGTCCGGTCACAAAAGACAAAAAACCAGGGTGTCGGACGGCCGTTTGGGGTATTCCATCAAGAACCGTCAAAAGTGTTGACTGTGTACGCCTGCCTCACCTGGCTGTGCGCCTCCTGGTAGACATCCTGAATTCTTCCCGTGCACCTGCCACCACAACAGGTGAAGGTTATTCATCCAGTGTTGTTTTCTTTTGCTTGCCTCGCTGGCATTTACAAACTAGTCTGTCCAATAGATGACCATCTCGTCTTGAGCCATCCATTTGTAAGGTGAATCAGCACATACATTCCGGAAAGGTGGAGGTAAAAGTCAGCTAACTAGTATTTCTCAGATCCACAGTCCGGAGTTGAGAGGGTTTGAATTCGAAATATATGGCTTTGTGGGTGTCTTATCGGTCAAGCTTGGGTGAGATAGAGCCCGATTCTCAGGAAGGTCAAAGAAGCTCTTCTAAACGTCCAACATACGGCGCCGGCGTGCCATCGGTTTGCCTGTCAAGTACGTGATCTAAAACACTATAGCACATGGTCACTGCACGCCTAGGTTTGCAGGAAATACGGAACTATGAATTCCCGGGTAGGTCAGACTGTTTTCGAAAGAAATAACACAGTCCCAGATTAGGCTGTTTGGGTAACGAGTTTCACGTGTCACAGAATAGTCTGCCACGTTACACTTCTCATTACCCGTCCATATGCTGCGTTGAAATGCTTTGTGGGCAACCAGACCTGCAAGCTCCACTCAAGAGTCTGAATCACCAACAAGTGTCACCTTTTGTGAAGGGATGATGATAAGGGGCTTGGCTCAGTTACGTGGCCAAGGGTGCCACAACAGCATGGTTATCGACCCCAAATTGCACAACTGACTACAGGAAAAAACGAACAAGATAGTAAACTTTTCTATTTTAAACGTATCGTTTTTCAAGGAGAGTGTAGCGATCCACGACTGAATGCTATAGTCACTCTTTCGGCTGACGTAGGGGCCAATGGAGGCCGGCAATATAGGTAGCTCGTATGACTGACCTACCCGACCGCAGGCTGACCACGTCTCCTCGCATGGGGACGAAACGCTTGCAAATCAAATGTCGAGCTCAGCGAACAGATGAACTACTACCTGATCAACAACCGACCGGTCAAGGCCGTTGAATGCATACACGGCGACCCTTGGAGCCACTGGGGCCCTACGCCATGTAGTGATAGTTGCTGATCAGCATCAACGACATTCGTGCACCCAGATCATGTGGTCTAGGACAAGCAACAAAGTAAAACAACTGATTCCATTGCCCTGAGCCTTGGTATCAGTAAAATCTAGGTGCACAACCTCAGCGACGAAGTTTCAACCTCCAGGAACCAAATACCAGAAATTTTGTGACAATATCGGACGCAGTTGCAGTCATGAACGCGGATAGTCGATTGATACGGCATGTTCCTTCGAGTTAGCCGTTAAGCCTACCTTTGTTTCTTCCATTCTCAAAGTGTATGCCCTGTTTCTGAGAGAGGACACTATGACGCTGTTTTCGTGGGTACGTATGGCCCGAAACTCTCAAATATTTGGATGTACTGCACGTCTTACGGCGGCCGGCTACGGCCGTGAGAGAGCAGGTTCGTTTTGCCCCCACTCACGCACATCAACGCACACGAACCTGCAGTGCCATATCGTAGGAACCACACTGTGTCCTCAATCAATTGCTTGTACCGGTTTCCCCAATTCCACAACCAGATAGAATGACGCTGGTCTCTGCAGTATTGTAGTCGCAATATGAGACAGTTTGCTAGAACGGTTCGTGACTCATTAGCAACAGTGTCTCTCAGAAATCGGATATTCACGACGGATTCAGCCCCGGATACACAAGGGTTGTCCACATTATCGTACATGTACAGTCAGTGGAATGCACCCTCCTACCCCAAACTGTAACAATGCGCTTGATGGCTTCAATTCACACATATCCTGGCCGTTGTGGTTCCGGTTGTCGTTATTGTTGTTGCTCACTCACTTGTTACGCTTATCGTCTAAAGTGGGTGGAACGAACAAAGGGGATGCATGTGCACGTAAGAATGTGCTTGGCGGACTGAGTTTTGCGCTGTATACGTAGCTCATGTCAACAGCAGCCAACCTTGGCCACAGATTGTGGGGTGTGCTTTTCTCCGTGCGCATATCTTTTTGGTAGCTGATTCGGACAGCGCTCGTTGACTTAATGAACAATTCTTATCAGAATATCGTACTACGGGTGGTGTGAACTAATAGTTCAACCGTGTGCACTAGGTACGCCGGACATTGGCTCTATTCGACTCCTCAAGGGGGTGGCTCAGACTGCAAAAGGATGGTTCTATCGAAATGTACGAAGCTCGTCTATATGGACCGACGCCTGTGTACAAAAAGCCAAGCCCGTGCTGAGCTCCTCCAGATTTGCCAGGTAGTCCGAAAAGTCTCTATTTATCGGGGGGGGGGGGTTCGGCTGACTCAGAACTATCAGTCACGTCGTATTCCATCGTTCTCTTATCATATCAGCTCTCCGGCTCTCCAAAGAGCCGCTCTGATAACATGTGTCGAGGTGTGTTTGGAATTGACGATAAGTACACAGTAATAATGACTGTGTGCTTATTGTCTCGTTGCTTTTAACAC